CCTTCGAATCTCTTCACCAAACACTTTCACTCAAAATGGAAGTAAGCTCAACAATTATGAAACAAGAGATACCTCGAAACCCAACTTTTCTTTGAATATGATAAAGCCTTGGGAGGCAAATTCAAGAGAAGTTTAATTGCCTTATGAAGCCAAGTCATCTCATTGCTGAAGATATCCGACTTTCAGTTGTTAGATCACTTTAAGCAACTGAATCCCTATTCCAGAATTACTGTTAGTCTAGGAAGCTATTCCTGTGGATATTACCTCCGGAATATTTGCTCCAACAGGGTTTAATGCTAGTTTTGAAATAATTCACATTTTAATGGAAAATACGTTTAAAGTACCATTATAACTGTTATTTGAGAAACACTACTCATAAGGAAATTAAGTAACATCGTTGCTTGTAATGGAAAAGACTTGTTTGTTTAATCGACGTCTATGCCTCGTTGACTGGCAATTGGGAGGAGCCTAGCGTGCTTTAATGTCGCATCAGTGGCTGTGCAATGAAGTAGTAACGATGCCACGATATTCACGAGCCGACATTGAATCCCGCTGATGGGGACAAAACTGCTATCCACCCTGAATGAAATAAGTATTTGGAGGCAAGAATAAGGCGATTTCAATTGCTTCATGTAGTCCATTCTTCATCATGTAGGAAAACCTCAACTGTCAGTACTTAACTCACCTTAATTGACCTGAGGAAACAAAATTCTAAAGGTCTCGAAGGCTATTCATATGGACATTGAATTTCACATAAGCTCGGCCTTGAACATCCTTTCTTCTACAGGATTTATTAGTGCTTCTGAAGCTCGCATACATTTACAATTCCATCATAAATGCGAGTTTTAAAGTGTCCGGTCTGGCCTATGACCTAGCGTCATCCTTGGCGGAGTGAATTGGTGATAACATGTTGCAAACATGTGCACATCTCGGTTTCGGATTCACTTTCAGTGGCGTGGTTTAGACTAGCGTCTGGCCGGAATGGGAGAATCTCTTGTGAGTGTGAGGCTAGTTACATTCGGTGGAATCGCGAAATGGACTCGCTAGATTGTAGCGAAAACTCCACTATCCGACCTGAAATTGCCTTAATTCACCAAAGCTGAATTTGTTTTAATTTCAGCATTATCGACAACTTCGAGACCTCCACTTCTGAAATAGTGCGTCCCCTCAGTTGGACACTTTTAGGTTTGGACAGTGGTGCTCCACTTGCCCATGTCGACTTGACGAATGGGCCTGGATTCGCCCAAAAGTACCATTTCAGCCTGACTGAAGCGAGGATTCGCGTCAATTCGCTGCTCCCAAGAGCTGTATTTGGTATCGCCTAACATAAGTGCCCACTTCGGCGCACAGGAGCCTAGGGAATACGGTATCGAAGAGTGGGCATATTTGCCTCCGAAGTCATATCAGTTTGGCCCCGCCGAGGCTGAGGTGTTAAGAAAACCCAACTGAGGCCGCAACTTCCGGGCGTTCTGCTGGAGAGGTGGCTTTTTAGAGCACATTAAAATGCATACTTATTTCCAGTTTATCCTAATCACACAAAGGGATAAATAATTGCCGATCCACATGTACTTATTATTATGTTTACGTCTTTCATTTTCTTGTACTTTCTCACCTGTTTCACTCGCGTTTCAGCCTCAATAATTGATAATTTTGGTACTGGATCTTTTCCAAAATAAGCAAATTACAACTTTGTTGATGTGAATTTCATTTCCTATTAAGCTCCTGGCACATCTCATCGGAAGAGAGCAGTTCTGTAGTCGCTTGATGTCAGAAAGATGCTCAAGTTGACACATTCCACTAAAATGCAATATCCTTCTATGGCTTGGTTAGTTCCTTTTCACAGTAAACTAAATAATTTTATAAGAACTTAATCGAAATAAGTTGCCTCAGGTGATTTAAAGATTGATAGTTGTGTAGGCCATAGGATGACATTGAATAGCATACAGCATTATCATCAGCAGTAGCAGCAGCACCCCAACGATATTATACGCCGCATCGTGAGCACCGTGGGAACATTCCTACCCAATACACAGCCACACATTGCAGTGGGTCACAGGGCAAATGCGTGATTCGAGGCAAGCCAAGCTTCGCCCATATCACATTTATTATGAGATTGCAGATTAAACAAATATCGGCAACCCGTGGATGAGAACAACTTTTGGGAAAGCAAGGCTATGTGAAAGAAATGGAAACGTCATTATGGGAAAATTCTTCTTCTACCAGTCATTCATCACCTTACACGAAATTGGGTGAATACATCTCATATTACTGATTTACTGGTAGTCTCGAAACGATACTTAAATGCGAAAAACAAGCAAATATGTATTTTCCAATGAAAATGATGACGTCAATTATTTTGAGCATAAGTAGACTTAGAGACTATCGGTAATATTTGATGACGAAGTTAGGTCGCTGAAAGTGATTTAAAGGTTGATATCTGTTATTCCTACGTCCACATGAGTATGCCTGGGATGTTCAAGTCAACGAAATACACCAAAAATGTAAAAAATGGGCTGACCTTTTATGGAAACCATATGAGCTGAGCCTTATCCCTACAAAGTTTTCAACCAAGTACTTCGTCAGTAAAATCTAGCAACTCTACTTCATACACTATTTATATTAGCCACAACAATTAAAAATAAACTAAATATATAAAGACAAGTATAGATAGATATAGAAGGATTTGGTTATTTCGTTTTCTAGTCAACATGCCCACTTATATGTATGTACGTATGTGTGTGTGTGCGTGTGTGTTTACAAAACTACCAGTCATAAATACTATTAGCTACAATAAAATAATGATTCTGTCTATTGTATTTGTTTAAGTGAGTATATATTTTTTCGTATTAGAGTAGAGTTTCGAGACTACCAGTAAATCAGTACTATGATACGAAAATAAGTAACGTTGTCGATTGTTATAGCAAGCATACGTTTGCTTCATCGGCACTACCACCAAAGAATATGATATAGCAAAGAGGCCTGACCTTCCTTGAAATTCACT